GTGCTGAGCCGTGCACTATCCACAGCCACGGGGGAAGACTACGACCCTCCATTCGGTTATTCAGGACTGCTATCTATCCCATGGTTTCGCGATTGGAGAGATCGATTCATCGAAGTACCGGTTCCCTAATCTCTACTCTATGGGCTTCACTGAAGATGAATATAGGCACAAGATCTTCTTTCTTACCTCAAAACTCCGTACCGACTGGCCAGTTTCGAAGATTGGTTCAGCGTGGACTATCACATGACGAATTTTCATCGCCTTCATAAGACCTGCGGCATCACTCCCGCGACCTACGTTCGGCATGTGCTGATCCTCAGCGAGGCGGTCTTCGACATCGACGTGTTTGAAAACACACTCCCACTGGGACCAACCAACCGCACATCTGAAAAAGATGTAAGTGCGCCTAATACCGAACGATGTGGTCTAACCCGCCTCAGATTATCATACAGAATTTTGTGCTCCTCTACTACTGGTGGGCGGGATACAGAGTTGATGGATACACGGCCTGCGAGCCGCTTGTCCGTTCACTTAGTGTTCCTTTTCATATCCGCTTGGACGATGTCTGGAATAGGGCAGGTCGTGGAGAAGCCGCTATATATCGTGGTGGTCCTACTGACCGACCAAGACCACAGTCGCGCATCCTCCATCTGGAGGAGATAGACGAGGATTAGGTCCTTCGTATACACCACACAAGGATTAGGTACTTCGTATCCATCGGCGGCCATTTGCACTGCGCCAAGCGCTCTTTGTAAGGTGATGGAATGGCAAAAGTCTTCCGCCGGTCCGATGAAAACGACAATCTTTGTAGGTTGATCGAATCGCACAAGTCTGCCGGGGGTCCGATGGGAAATGGCCATCTTTGTAACATGATGAAATCGCACAAATTATCTGCCGCTTCAATGGAAAACGAGACAGACGACTGCGGAATGCCCTAAAAACACATGAGGCATCTACGATCACCGCAACGGACTGATGCTCACACAATCGGCGGCTCTTATCATGACCGCCACAGGGCATTTAGCATTCCGAACAGTCTTGAATCGCAAGGCAAGACAGCGCTGACTTCACCCATGTGTTCGGATTGCTACGAACATCGCCTGACCAACATCGCCTTACCTTGATCGGCATGACATTGGAATCTTGCCCGGGCCATCCGTGCGCCAGGGCTGACCTCGCATCCATGTGGATCGCTACGAACATCATAAGGCCAACTTGCATCTTGCGCATGCCGCCGTGCCTTGCATCTGTTATCATAACTCCCCTGGAAAGAGGTCAGTCGTCCCCTGTTTACGAGCCGTATGTCCGACGAACCAAGATAGCACAGGTCGAGGTCCTCCCGCCAGGTCCTCCCACCCGGCGCCCCGTCACCTTGGATCGCTACGAACACCACCTGACCAACATCGCCTAACCTTGATCGGCATGACATTAGTATCTTGCCTGTGCCATCCGTGCGCCAGGGCTGACCTCGCATCCATGCGGATCACTACGAACATCATAAGGTCAACTTGCATCTTGCGCATGCCGCCGTGCCTTGCACCTGTCATCATAGCTCCCCTGGAAAGAGGTCAGTCGTCCCCTGTTTACGAGCCGTATGTCCGACGAACCGAGATAGCACAGGTCGAGGTCCTCCTCCCGCCCGGCGCCCCCGTCGCCTTTGCCTTCTGCAACACCGCTCAAATGCAAGCCTTGGAGCCTCAGCATCGTCCTTACCAACGCTGGAAAGAACTGTTCTATTGCAAAAGCACTAATGTGAGCAAGGATACCAATTCATATCATACACGTTGACGCACCGACAGGCATCTCTTCTGGCATCTTTGGTGCTCAAAGACGACAGGCTGGAGGACTTTTACGGTCTGGACAAGAACCTCCTTCAACACTTCGATTGGTGCCAACATGAACACGAACTCTTCAGGACGGATGCCGCCACTTACATGCAGTGGGTGTTGGCCGCCGGTGCCGTGAACCTGTCGGATAGCATCGCAGACGTGAGCATTCAGTATTGACGCGCTATCAAAGGACCGATACAGACATTTTCCAGCGAGCGATGACGCGGTTTGCAAGTCACTTCGAGCGGTGGTCCCGCCTGCGTGAAACGCCTTCAAGCGAGGCCGACGGTGATGAAGACCAGCAAGAAGATGAAGGCAATCACAACATTGACGACGATGTCGACAAAGAATCAATCGCGCATGAGGAATATGTCTGCATCGCATTGCTAGCCCGAGAGCGTGAGCGCGCGAGCCCTAATAGAGAAAGTAACATCGCGCACCCGTTCTTCATGCTCTGGAATGCTCACTCGCAAGAGGTGGGCTTTTTGCATTCTGTATTCAGGGGCCTACAGTATCTCAAATGAGCCACAGGCGCAGGACCTTGCAGAAAAGCTCGTCGATGAACGTACCTTTGCACTGCAAGCGCAGCAGCAGCTTTCAGACACATCGTTTGCATTCCATGTCCATAACTTCTCGCTTCTTCATCGCCGCTGTCAAATGTCTCCTCGCGAGTACTTGCTTCGAGTTTTTTACCATTCCGATGGATTCAGGCGAATTCAGATTGAAGGCGATAGCATCCATTTCCAGGTGACCGGTTCTCTAGCCCTTGCTGCACTCGATCTCATCGCACGTATAGACGCTTGAACGCAAACTCGAAGCCGTGTATCGGCTTTGGTACGCGGCAACACCGCGTCGAGCGACTCTGCGTGGTTTGGAAGATAGCGGTTGAGGGTGAGCAACTGAACGTATGCGGTGACGGGCGCTTGTGCGGGGTCAGATCACGTGGCTATATTCAGACAAAGTCAAACCGACGACTCTAACGACGGTCTCTTCTGTACGTGTCTGCGGGTGTGTTCCTTATCCAACATCATTTGCTTTGCATTTTATTTAAACATGATTCGGTGCCCGCATTTGCCGCTTCTTTCCAAAAAAAAATGAGTACAAATTTGCACGTATGTACGTGGACTGGTGTACGGATGGGAATACAAACCTGTCTACGCTTAGATGTAGGAATATGAGAAAAGCTCATCGAGAAACCGAGATATGAGGCGTATAGCAAATCTGATCCTGCGCCGAGTTCTGACATTCCCTGCGTTCTCAGTACATCTGTCACCGCGTCGCAAGACGAAGTTGCAGCAATAGGAAGGAGAATCAATCAGTTGGCGGAGCATACAGACATGACTTATGCTGGGGTGGTCGATGTGGAATTTCACTGCGGTCAATGTGCGTGTGCACGAAAGGCTGGGGGAATCAATGCAGGTGATCAACGAAGGATGGTGCGTGCATGAACGAAACCACCGTTCCATTGACCGATCACAGCAAGGGCACATCTCCTAGCAGAATTGGTGCAATGGATCGAGATGCGCGTATAATCTTCTAATGCACGGTGAAGCTTTGATCTCTGTGTTAATTACTGTGGGTCATATACACCCGATGTATGCATATATTGCAAGAAAACAACCGCCGGTCCGACCCATTTCGCTTTCGCTGCAATCGCGCATGCCTGCACCATGACAATGCAGCCTATTAAGGGTAGAGCACAGTTTTTAATGCACGATGAGGCACTGATTCAGGAGCCAAACAGATGTGCACAGATAAACCAAGGTTATAATGCTCGATGGAGCATGCAAGGATGAAATCACCATCTGTTACCCATTTCGAATGTGGTGATCGACTGGTTCTTGCGGTCTCGCACGCATTCGTTACCCTACACTGGTGTGTGTAGACATTTTGGAGTCATAGACCACACATTCGTTGTGTATTGGAGAGCTATGCGCATCCATTTATTCGCTGCACCATTCTTGGAACAGGATCTACGTTGCTGCGAGCACGCTGTCCCGCCCCTAAAGTGAATAGGTGCGGAACTGCTCGAAAACCTCCATTTTTTATTCATTCTGCAGCCTCTCTGTTATGTAGTAGTATAAAATCTAAGTAGAATAGACCAAGCATGTACCTTAAACGGGCCCAGGAAAGTTTGACCATATTGGGAAAGGGATTACTAAGCGGTGCCCAATCTTAGTCAGCACATGACAAATCATGACTCGGCTGAGTCAGAAGCTGACTCAGCACTGCTAGGATTACTAATATGACTCAGAAAGCTGGCCTAGCTAAGGAGTATAAAATGTAGCCGAATCGGCATGAATGAGCAATCAATCAG